AGGCGTATAATAGGGAGCCAACGATATGTTTTTTCAGGGCTGCTACTGATTACTAGTCATCTAAAATGAAACACAGAACTTGTTGACATCCCTTTGTTTATTTGTGTTCAATTAAAAAGGAGCTTCTCCACATTCATCCTTCAGTGTTGATTCGCTGTTCCTTGTAACCAATTAGATATTGTTTGAGACAACAGACTGCAGGACGAGAGAGGCAGCAGCAGCATCAGGGCCAAACTAATGCATTTTTGTATTCATTGATTTTTATTGGGAATTAGTTTAAATAAAAAAACACACATAATGATGGCGACAATAGGAAAAACATTTGATCTGATAATTGGCTAGGCTAATAATCCCTAGAGTATACAGCTAGGTTAAAAAGACTTAATCGTGTTTTTAGATGATTATTATATTGAATTGATGGCCACACACCTGTAGACCTGCCACTCCTCCAACTTTAACTGACTGATTAGACCTGTGACATGTTGCTTTAGGTGACACATATATCTACTATTTAAAGCATGCTTTTAGTGCCCTCGCTCATTTTTTGGTGAAGTTTCAGATATTATTACCCTCCTCTCCACGGTAAAGGTCCAGGACTTTGTTCTCTCCCTGACAAAGTCCAGTATGTTATATTTAATAAATATAAGATGTGATTTGTGTATATAACAGCAAAGATGACTAACATCTTGAACTCTGTCTAGACTAGACATTTGGTTTACTATGTTGTATGAGCATCCAGTCCACACATGTGAGAAGCTGGAACCCGCCTTTTCTTGTTGCTCACATGATTTTGTTGTAGATTTAATTTTGAATGGATGCAGTTTCCTTTTTTTTTTTTTAACCATTAATTTTTCTCGTGCTGTAGAGTTTGTCAGAGTCTGTTACGACCATAATTCTCGACTCCTGACAGGTTTTCACACTGCAGACGCTATGAAGCCATTTTTTAGCAGCTGCAGACGACTTTTCTGTCAGTCACGTATTCCATTAATGGTGACGGCTCTGTTGCAGACGCTCGTCTTGAGTGCGGTCATTGTTGTCAAGGTGAAATCATATCTACCTCTATTGTTAAAGTCTGTTCTGTTCCTGCTAATTACTTACATTCTTTATGCATACTTGAAATGATTCTGCACTTATGCAGGATTTTCACTCAGAGGTTGTCAGCAGAAACGCTTCCAGGTTGACCAGGTATCCCACTAAGTAAAGTTGGCAGAGTTGGTGGTGGGAAGCTGCTCTGGGGTCGTACCAACCTCCTGATGTCGCTGATGAAACTCTTCACTGACAGATGAAAACAAGCAGGTGCTTATATCCCTGAGTGGAAGCTCATGGCTGCCTGCACAAGACCAGAGTGGAAACCAGCAGCAGCACAGACTGGAATGCATTCATTTCTCTTTCTCCTTTGGAACATGCATTGTTTTTGCATTTTTTTCAAAAAAAGTCTTCAATAGTTATGAACAGATGACAATAAAATTTGCAACTGTTGTGAGAAACCGTTAACAGACAAGTAATTGCCCTTCTGAAATCATAGAAGGGCAGATAACTGCTTCAGTTATAGAGGAGATAACTACTAAAGTAGAAAAATACAAATAAAAATGGGCAGCTAACGTCATTTTTTGGTATCTTTGAGTAAAAGAAAAACAACTAACATGTTGGTTTTTCATTTAATTAATGCAACTATTATAGTAAGGCTTAAACTAAATTAGCTAGTCGGGGGAGAAGATCCTTTTTTTTTTTTTTTTGCCTCCAGTTAATTCAATTTGATTTAGTGGTCTTTAAATCACACATAAGAAACGTGTAAATTGTATGATATTGATTTCAGTTCACATATTAACAGCAGTGGGACAGAAACACTTGATTCCTGGACTGTAAAACACAATTAAACTGAAGTTACTGTAGTTTTGTAGATATAATTTATGGCTCCTCTGGCTATTGGTGGGTTGTTTTTTTTCTAATTAGTATCTCTGTAGGGTGCTGCTCCTGCATCCTGATGACTTTGTCTCTTATAATACAGACGATGAGAAGAATCTGAAGAATGCCATACTCTTTGTTTAAACACCCCAGTGTGTTAAACGCACATGATGCTATTTTAAGCGTGAATGAAGCTCTTACAGACGCAGGAGTCGCTGCAGAGGCCTGGATGCAGCGCTGCACTTCTTTCTCACACATACAGACATGCAGCAGCGTCTCTGTGCTTAGCGGTGCGTACAGACGTCTGAACCCACCACACACCCCAGATGCCTCAGTGGATGTGTGTGTGTGGCCTCTTCCCACACACACACACACACACACACACACACACACACACACACACAAGCAGACCCCAGCTGGAAAAGGCTAAGAGGTGTTGACAGAGAAAAGAGCCCTGCTGCAACACTGATTAAACTCAGATTCTTTTCTCTGCCTGTCCTCTCTTTCCTTTCTATTTTTTTGCCCCCCCACCCCCCCTATCTTTTTACCTCATCCATACCTCAGTTTTATTCTCTATTTAATAGTTTCTCTCCTTCCCAAACTCCTGGCGACAAAGTAAGAGAGGACGCACACCTTTGGACACACAAGCTGAATGTAAAATGCAGCTGCTCCTCTTTTAGCAGTAATGATTCTCCTAAACACGCCAGCTGCTTTTCAATTACTGCTTGTGTGTGTGTGTGTGTGTGTGTAATGAGGGATAGTTGAAGGTTCAGTCAGACCCGGGGTCAGACCGGCTGATTAATAACACCACATACACACTCACACGCACACACACTGAGCTGGGGTCAGTGTTTTGACAGAGCAGAGAGCCCGACTTCAATCCCATCACAATCACAGTGTAATTACTTTGCATTACTGCAGGTTTATCTCTAATTCTGCCGCAGTACGTCATTAACTAGAAGTGTCTCTTCGTTTAGACCGTCATTACTCTGTATTACAGCCGCTTTTACTTTATCAGCCAGAATTATGACATTACACTTTTCATTAACACCAGAATTGGATCCAAATGAGCCTGTAGGACACACTGTTTACTGCTCGTGCTCTGTACAACTGGCCAGCATGAGCTCATTTATGTTATCAGCTGTAATTACTTCATTACACTTCTCAGTCAAATTACTTTTTGTTCAAGTTTCTGGCTGTAATAGCAGCAGATAGAGGGAGTGCTTCATTACATACAGAGGATGTGAAGGTCCACACACCGAGCTTCTGTGATTGCAGCTGAGTCAAACATTGCTGGCTTTGTGTTTTGGAGGTTTACGGTAGATTGTGGCGCCTACGACTTGGTTCTGCCACTGCTCTTAGATTGTCCAGCCTGATTTACAGTTGAAACAGAAGTTTACATACACTCTATAGAAAGACACGTAGCCTTTAAAGCTCACGATGTGACATTAAGTCAGACTAAAGTTTTCCTGTTTTAGGTCAGTCAGGATTAACAAAATGATTTATATTTGCTAAACGCCAGAGACTATTGTTTTTATTACTTTCTTCAGTCAGTCACTACTACTGATGATAATAATAATAATATTTTATAATAGATTTCTTGTCGTCTTTCTGTTGCAGATTGGCGTGACGCAGAGCTGATGCGAGACATCGAGGCAGCGACGGGAGAGGACCTGGGTTCTAGTCGGGTGGGCGGTAAAAGAGGGAAGAAGAAGAAATATCCCAACCTCAGCGATCTGAAGCAGGGCACCAACACCACCCGCTCCAGGCTGGAGAAAAAAGTCTTTAACAAGTACGTGTCATAGCGAACTCCCTGTAGATGCTTGATAGGTTGAGTATAGGAGCTAAGAACACCTTCTGGCTGCAACAAATACGTCAAACACAAAGACATACTGAAGGGCTTTAAAGCTACTAAAATCTCTACAGAGTGAACGCATACAGCTAACTGTACATTTCACACCATATCTGACACGGTGTCTTGACTCCTAGCTGGCTGGATTTCCACCTTCTCTAAAAGGCCTCAAAGGAGTGTTTTAACAAAAGCTTGTAAACATCTATACGAAGGTGACTCCAAAAACAATCAATTAATTAGATTATTTCAGTGTTGGGTACTTTTAAAAAAATTATCAACCCACTGGTAGATTTTTGACGAGTTATCAAACCACGTTCAGTTGTTTTGACAGAAATAACAAATGTGATTCGCTCCAATAAGCGTGTGGAGGGAAGTGTTCAACTGATGGTTAGTCTGTGTTCTAGTTTGTGTTCTGGTTTAACCTCCGCTGTGGTCTCGCCCTCCTCCTCCCTCCAGGAGCACCATGCGAAGAGTGGCTCAGGTGATGAACAAAGCTGACAAGAGAAAACACGACAAGTTCTCCAACCAGTTCAACTACGCTCTCAACTGACCTCCAGCAGCCGCCACATGCCGTGAACTGAACAAGAGGCGGACTCGGTTCACCTCTCAAAGAATTCTGGTTCATCTCAGCCTGGTGCCTTCGGTCCAGATATGAGATGTTCATACAGAGTGCAAAGTTAGCTCGGCACACAGAGACACAATAGTCACATCAGGGCAAATACAGCAGGTTGAAATCAGCTGAAATTATTCTGTGTAACGAGCTTTCTTGGAAACAAGAAAGGTTTTAATTTATTGAGGGATGCGGTCTCCAGGTTAACGTGACTGGTGTGTGATTGCAGCTGAAATGATTTAACTCCTTTTTAAGGAGAAGCCTTAAATGTGATCAGTTATCAAATGTACAAACAGGGGAGGAGTGTTTTTGTCCAGATCTGCAGCTTTACACCTGATAAGAAGTGATGGAGTTCTAGAAAATGAAAATTGTATTTCTTATGACCTAATTTATTGCCACATTGTTAAGCTTACTGTTGCCTTCATGTCTGCCAAGTCCGGGTTCCTTTTTCTACAACTGACCCATTTTTACTCTTTTTCTACTATTTTCTTGTTGAATGTGTTAAAGTGATGTATTGATGTGTTTGTCAAAGAAAACTGTAAATCTTTATTTCCCGCAGCCTGTCCTGTTCGTGTCTTTGTCTTGTCCTCCACGTTAATGAGGTTCATTCAGGTTTAATTCAGCTCAGAGATCTGCAGCACAGTGGGTAAGTTTAGAGAATGACTGTGAGCATGAGTAGCTAAATATATGAAGAGAATAAGAACACATATTTAGTTTTCATTCAAACAGCATATCAGTGCTACACAAAATAAGGTTTGAGACACTTAATTTGTCTTATACCTGCATTCTGTCGAACAGCCAGTAGGGGGCGACTCCTCTGGCTTAAGAAAATAAAGGCAGATTGTATGGACATATGTGAAAATGAGTGTCCTCCTCCCTTGATTTAATACCTCACTCAACAGTTTCCTAATGGTTTCAGTTGCTAGTTTAGTAGCTCCTTCCAAACACTGTAGTGTTCATTTAGTAAATTCTGCTCCCATTTACAGTAAAATAGACAACAAAGGTGGGTGTGCTTTAGGGTGGGGCTACCTTTTGATTGACACGTCGCTTCCATCTCACCGTACCAGTCAGCTTTACCGCTGACTCACTACATCTGATTTTAAAAGTCAAAGACTGGAGACTTCACCACAGTTCTCCCCAAACCAACGAGTGACCCCATCCAGCTCCAAACACAACAGATCCTACGTCTTCCATGATGCAGAAGCCTGGTAGATGCCTGCAGCTGGTAAACTCTGGCTGACCCTTGTTTGTTTGAAACCAACAAACCGCAGAAAATGTTATTGGTGATTATGGGAGCAATGGATCTGCATAACGGCACACCAGTCAGAGAGTCCATCTGGACCGAGGTGCTCAGTCGAAAGGACCTACGGACAGTTTCTAGAAAGGACAATAGAGCAGTAGAAGAAGGAGGCTTGGTCTGATAAAGTCTCTCTCACATCATGTGGACAGCCGGCGGCATGAGCATCCTTTACTTGGGAAGAGATCACAGCAGGATGCGGGAGGAGGGCCGGCCAGCAGCACAGTATGCAGGTGGTCGTATTGTTTGGATCAGTGGTGTGCCCATAAAATATTCTCATTTGTTTCTCATTATTGATGCACTAATGTGTGCATCAATGTATGCTGCACAGGTAAGGGTGGGGCTCAGGATGTTTAGTCGGGAAATGCACTCATATTAAACTGCTGAAGGTGTTCTCGGGGTGAACAAGTGACTCAAAACCCAGGAACAGGTGGAAGCGTCCTGGCAGCCTGGTGAGAGAAACATTTCTCCAGAGATGAGTTTAAGAGCGACATATCTACAGAAAGTCTCCAGTGAGAGCTCTGTGTTGATGATATTTAGCAAATGAAGGTTGTGCCTTACACACAGGCTGTGCTTTCTTATTCTTTGGAGGCCTCAGAATGAACAAATTGAAAAGCGTTGTGGCTGTTGCAGTATTTTCCACTTTTGAGCAAAAAGTTGTCTCAGGTCATATAAAATATCTGAACCTTTCCACTACATACAGACAACCTGGGTCGATGACGTAACTTCCTGTCCAGCTGTGAAATTCCTCTTTTGACGCACTCGTGAACTAAACAGAGCCTGCATCCTTTTAAATGACTGAGTTACGCAATGAGAAGCTGAGCAAGCTGAGGGAAGTTTGGGGCACCAAAATCTTTCTGTGTGGAGTCTCCATGTTCTCCCCGTGCAGCGTGGGTTCTCTCCGGGTTCTCCAGCTTCCTCCCACAGTCCAGAAACATGCTGAGGTTA